AACTGCTGACCCTGAGGTTAGCAGCCCAATTTGTAATGACTACATTACCAGAGCTCCTGAAAACCCTATGGCTCACAGTAGCACTGTCTGATCTAAGTGCTGGAAGATGAGGCCCCTAGAGGGGAAGGCACCACACAGTATCCACAACAATGGACTGAAACTACCAATGATTTTGAAGATGGTGTGGGGCTGGGCAAGGTTTCATTCCCCTGTATATTGGTTCACATGAGTCCGAGTTGACTCAACAAGAAGGAGCAGCAAAACCCAATGCCAACAGTCCTTTGGCTAGAATTTGCGATGGGCAAGACGTTCATGAATATACACTCCTCCCTCCCCACCTGCCTCCTCCACAGGAAGGTGTCAAAGCCCTAACAAGTCACTATGTATTGTTGTTGTTTTTAAGTGCCATTGAGTTGGTACCGACTCATAGTGACCCGATGCACAGCAGAACGAAACACTGCCCGATCCTGGGCCAACCTTACTACTGTTGCCACGTTTGAGTCCATCGATGCTGCCACTTGGCCAATCCATCTCGTTGGGGGGATCTTCCTCTTTTTCTCTGACCCTCCACTAGGTATGAGACGTCAGTGTATTTCATTTTTCGTGTGGCATCTTATAAGCACTGAGTACTTCCCCTGGGCCAGTGGACTCCCCAGAGCTTGTTCTGAGGACAGAAACTCATTTCCCCTGGTTCCTGGAGTACACAGCTGGTTGTGACATGACTCAGTTCCACAGTGACATCCTGGGTACAAGCTGTCTTGAAAGTGACATCACCTAGGAATCATTTCAAGGCATCTTCCCAATCATCTTCTCCAAATTCATATATTGCGTTGAATGGACGCACCTCATCATTCCTATTGTCTTTCTCTTTAAAGTTAGGGTCAAAGGTAAATTCCAGCAAGGCAGTACAAGATCTTGTTCATCTTTGTAACCTAGCTCCTAGCATAGAACTTGGCCCAGGCAGGTACCCAAAATTTGTCGGCTCGAGGGTCACCCACACAGGATGTTGCATTGTTGTTGCTGGCTAAACCATGGTCACCCCAAACTAAGCCCACTGCCATCAAGTTAAATTTGATGTTAAGTGTCATCCAGTCAGTTCCAACTCAAAGCGACCCTGTCATAGGGTTTCTGAGGTTTGAACCACCTACCTTGTGGTTAGCTATCCAGTGGTTAGCAGTCCAGCAAACCTATGTAGGACTTCTGAGACTATAAATCTTTACAGGAGCAGAAATTCTCCCAAGCACCAGATGGTAGATTTGAACTATTGACCTTGTTGTTAGCAGCCCAATGTCTAATCCACAATGCCATATTCTTGGCTCCATTGGGTATTTCATGGGTTCATTTGAATAGTAAATGTACTAAAAGTAAGGTAACATTGGATGGGGGCGGGGGGATGCCTTTGTCTTTCTTAGCAGGGCATGGGGAGGGTCAGAGTGCAGGAGTGAGGAGACTGGATTTCTAACTGGGTTTCCAAGCTGTGATCTGCCTTTAACTCATCTGTTTCTCAGACTATCCCAGTAACATTCTCCAGCATGTTTTGGTTAAAACAACCGAAGGGAATGAGCTGACGCCCTGCCGTTGCCACTAAGTGAGTCTTGTGGGTTTCCTTTTCCCTAGCTGAACGTGAATGTCAACAGCTTCCAAAGGAAATTTGTGAATGAAGTCAGAAGGTGTGAATCGCTGGAGAGAATCCTCCGTAAGTCATTTCCTGCCTCCTGTGGAGATGTGTGCTGGAGCCCGAAGGTGAAAGGTTACAAGACATCAGCTAGTGTTCCTGTTAGGAAAGCTTTCTGCGAGAACCCTGGGGCTGGGGGTGGGCAACCTGGGGATGGAATCCAAGGGCTGTACAGGTCCTCGGGCCATTCAGGCAACTGCCTTGGCTGGAATTCATCTGCCCTGTCTGGTTTGACCGCATTTCTTAGGCATGAGACATCTCAATCATCTTGGGCTGTTTGGTGGGGTTTCATCCCTCAGGTTTTCTAGAAGATGAGATGAAAAATGAGGTTGTGATTCAAGTGCCTGAGAAGTATCCTCCGTCCCCTCTCCCTCGGGAGATGATAACCCTAGAGGTGAGTACCTTTCCTGTGTTTTAGCTCCGTAAGAGTACTGTGACCGAAATACCACACATGGGTGACCGTCTTAGTTCCCTAGAGCTGTCATGACAGAAATACCACACGTGGGTGACCGTCTTAGTTCCCTAGAGCTGCCGTGACAGAAATACCACACGTGGGTGACCATCTTAGGTCCCTAGAGCTGCCATGACAGAAATGACGCATGTGGGTGACTGTCTTAGCTCTCTGGAGCTGCTGTGACAGAAATAGCACACGCTGGTGGCTTTATTTATTTATATTGTGATTTGGGTAAACTATACAGAGAAAATTCGTTTACATTCAACCATTGATACACATTTTGTTTGATGCCACTGATTCCAGTTCCTACAATGTAATAGCACTCTTCCCACATCCTCCCTGTGCACACCATTTCCATTTGTCCTTCTTTCCTGCCCCTAGCTGCCTTTTGAAGTTTATTCCTGGGCACATGCTGCCATTTTGTTCTAAGGCATTCGTACCTCCCTGATATCACTCTTCACCTTATGGACCTAGTTATCATTTGGCTGAATGACAAATATATTTTCTCTCAGTACTGTAGGCTAAAGGTCTAAATCAGGGACCCAGCCTTGTAATTCCTTCCTGGTTGATAGCCCAGGGTGTTCCTTGATTCCTTGGTGTAGATAAACTTCACTTAGCATCTTTCTTTCCCAGTGTATTCACTCATGTTTCTGTTTCCACGTTGCTCTTGATGGAACTCAGAAGGGATTAGGTTAAGGATCCGCCCTACACTGAGATGACAGCAGTTGACTAGTTGTATTGGGGTGTTGTGGAGAGCCTTCCTCGGCCTTCATGGCTTTACTCCATTCCACCTGTGCCTCCACACCTGCTTCATTCTCACCAGCCCTATAAATCCTCCTGACTACACCAAGGCATACGTGCCAAGCTCTTCAGAACCTCTGTCGAGCATATGATCATTAATATTTTCCCAAAATGTTATCTTCAAATTCAATGGTTCTCAAGCTGATGGGGCACTCGCTGTAGGATAAGCAATGGGCTGCTAACTACAAGGTTGGTTGTTCAAACCTACCAGACACTACTGGGAAATCCTATAACAGGGCTGCTATTATTATTTCAAAGGTCAGCTCGAGAAGACAAAGTCAAATATTGCAACAAAATGTGCAAAGATCTGGAGTTAGAAAACCAAAAGGGAAGAACATGCTCAGGGTTTCTTAAGCTGGGGGAAATGAAGAAAAAATTCAAGTCTCAATTTCATTATAGAAGGAATCTCTGGGCAAATTATTGAATGATGCAGAAAGCATCAAAAGAAGATGGAAGGAATACACAGAGTCACTGTACCAAAGAATTGGTCGATGTTCAACTGTTTCAAGAGGTATGATCAAGAGCCAATGATACTGAAGGAGGAAGTCCAAGGTGTATTTAAAGCATTGACAAAGAGCAAGGAACTAGGAAATGATGGAATAAAAATGGAAATCTTTCAAGAAAGTGAGGCGGCACAGGAGACACTCACTCATCTCTGCCAAGAAATTTGGAAGACAACTATCTGGCCAACTAACTGGAAGAGATCAATATTTGTGCCCATTCCGAAGAGAGGTGACCCAATGGAATGCAGAAATCATTGGACAATCTCTTTGATATCCCACGCGAGTAGGAACTGACTCCACGGCACATAACAACAATAGGGTTTCCAAGGAACAGCTGGTGGGTTTGAACCATCGACCTTGTGGTTCAAACTGACCTTGCAGCCCAGTGCTTATCCTATAGTGTCATTCTTGGTATTGCAAATCATATGGTTGTCCAATTCAGATAGCCAATACCAGTCCATTTCAGCTCACTAACATCTAGATATCTATCTTTATTTGTTCCATTTCAATTTTTGATAACTTCTAATATTCCTACTTTCATATTTCATACATTCCATGTTCTGATTCTAATGGATATTTGCATCTGTTTCGTCTCATTTTGAGTTGTACCCCATCATCAAATGAAGGTCCCCAAAACCTTACTCCAATTACATCATTATAGTTAACTCTACTTTGAGGACCAATAAACAATCCATAACAATGGAGAAAAGATTGAAATTGTCTAAGACTTCATTTTGCTCAGCTCAACCATCAACACTCCTGGAAGCAGCAATCAAGAAATCAAATTACATATTGCATTAGGCAAATCTGTGGCACAAGAACTCTTTAAAGTGTTGAAGAGCAAAGACATCAGTTTGAGGACTAAGGTGCACCTGACCCAAGCCATGGTATTTTCAATAATCTCATATGCAGTTCAAAACTACCAGCGGTTCTGCTGGAAAAAGATGAGGCGGTCTGCTCCTGTAAAGATTTATAGCCTCGGAAACCCTGCGTAGGGTCGCTATGAGTTGGAACCGACTCCACGGCACACAACAACAACAACAACAACAACACATATATATATATATATAACACAATATGTACCAAATCAGCCTTGTTCAGGTGTAGTGTAGTTTAGTGATAGCTACTTCATTAATTGTTCCTGTTATTGACGAATCCTTGGGTAAGTTTCACTGGGTATAATTTTGTGTTCTGATTGGTGGTTTTGCTGTTGACTTTTCTTTTTTTCAGCTCTCTCTTTAAAAGATGGTAAAAAATATAAATAACGGAACATTGATTTTGTACAGATACTAAGCAACACCGCTGGCTGCATTCATCATGCGGGGCAGTTGTTTGCTGGTGATTTTTATCCTGTTCATTTCTTCTTGGGCCCCGTCTTGTTTGCACACTCATTTTGGAAGGGCGAGTTGTGTTTTTGTGTTTGTCATCTTGCTCACTCTGTCCCCCTTTCTCACTGGCCACACATGGCTCTCCAGACTCCAGCTCAGAACAGGGGTTGGTTTAGGGGTGACCCAGGTCTTCTCATTTTACATTTTCCCCATCTTAACAATGTGTTTACACAGAAAGGAGATGTATGATTTGCTAAAACTCCCCCAATGACTCCAGGAAGCTGCCTTCCACCCCCAAGTCTTTTCTTATCTCCCCACACCCCAGTTTGGTGATGGAGCCCCAGAAAGAATGTATAACTGTTCTGTTTTTTAACTCTATAGCCATATCCATGGGAGCTACATTGTGAGGAACTTGGATTGTTCGTGGTTGGGGCTAACCTAGACTAAGAGAAGATGATCCTGCTTCTGCCCGGCTTAACTTTTTCTCTCTGCTGCCTAGACTATTCTGGAAAAACTAGAAAAGGAGTTACAGGAAGCCAACAACAACCAGCAAGATTTAAAGAAAAGTTTCTTAAAACTGACGGAACTCAAACATCTGCTGAAGAAAACCCAGGACTTCTTTGAGGTCATTCTTTGGGGGCTATTTAACTAAAGACCCTGGAGTCCTGGTGTGGTGCTGTGGGCTAATGTGTCAGTCTGCAAAGTCGTTTGAACTGCAAGGTCGGTGGTTCAAGCTCACCAGCTGCTCCCTGGAAACCTTATACAGGGTCACTATGGGTCAGAATCAACTCGACGGCACTTAACAACAACAACTAAAGTCCCTATTTCCTAGAAGTTGTCCTGGGGATGCTGTGGTTAAGATCTCCACTGCTAACCAAAACGTTGACTGTTTGAACCTAATAGTCGCTCTAGGGGAGAAAGATGTGGCAGTTAAGACATGGCAGCCTGCTTCAGTAAAAATTACAGCCTTGGAAACCCTATAGGCTCATTTTAGTCTGTCTTACAAGTCTGAGTCAGAATCAATTGGACTGCAATGGGTTTGGGGTGCATTACCTAAGCCTCAAATTTCCCTTTTGAAAACTGGCTGATTTGGAGTATGAATCATGGGCTCAGTTTCTGCCTTGTGACCTCTGCGTTGGGATGGAGGTTGCAGGGACAATAACTTGGTGGAATCAGATGCAAGAATATGGCATGCTCTTTCAGAAGTGTATGCTGGAAACAGCTCAGACAGAGAGTGTGCCCCAAACAATTCTGATCAGTTGGTTTGGGCAGATTTTTTGTTAAAAGAAACAGGGATGCTTTCTGCTTTGTCAAAGAAAAGGTTTTCATGCTCAAAGAAACATTATTTGGTGGTTATCAGGAGTGAGAGGGAAGGGCGAGTAACTCACTGGCTAGAGGTTGCTGTTGTTGTTGTTAAGTGCCATCAAGTCAATTCCGACCCATAGTGAGCCTGTGTAGGGTTTCCAAGGAGCAACTGGTGAACTTGAACCACCAACCTTGCAGTTTAAATGGCTTCGCAGTCTGGCACATTAACCCACAGCACCACACCAGGCTAGAGGGTAGACCCATGTTAACTCCAGTGACAGGGAAGGAAATACACAAGAAGAGGAAGGGTTGTGTTTGTTTGTTTGTTTGTTTTGTTTCTGCATGCTGTAATTACTTATGGAAAGTTGAAGCTTCTTTAAAAACAGGCAAAATCTTGAGGTGGGGGTGCTCTTCAGGCAGCCTGCGTCCATGTGAATGAATGTAGTGCTGCTTTGACTTCTAGACAGAAGCTAACCTCACGGATGATTTCTTCACTGAAGACACGTCAGGGCTCCTGGAGTTACGGACTTCGCCCTCTTCAATGCCCGGGAAGCTGGGGTGAGTGCGTACTTAGGTTACCTCCTGCTGCCTTCATGGAAACACCACTGTGGGTGGCTTTATAAACCAGAAAATTGTTTCTGGGGACCTGGTGTCTGAATTCAGGATGTGGCTCTGGGGAGTGGTCGGTCTTTGTCTCTTTCAGATTTTAGTAGCTGCTGGCAGCCTGGGCATTCCTGCGCTTGTAGCTACATCAGCTTCATAGGGAATCCATCTGACACTGCCTGTCTTACCACTGTGTGTGTCTGTCCCGTCCCCTCCCAACCCCACCTTTTAAAAATCTTTTTACTATGAATTGAGTGAAGATTCACAGACAAGGTCATCAGTTTTACACTCAACACATCGTACACTTTATTTCATCTCAATGATTGCAACCTCCTCCAAACAACAACATTTAACCCCCTTCCTCCCTGCGGTTCCTGTTTCCATTCCACCCGCCTTCCCATCCCTTCTCAACTTTGTCCTTAGGTAAACGTTACCTTTTTGATCTTGAATGATCGACCACTCCATAGTGAGTATCCCTTAATAGTGTTGTGTCCACCTATATATTTATCTGGAGTCCTGGTGTGGCACTATAGGATAAGCACTGGACTTCGAGGTCGTTTGAACTGCAAGATCAACAGTTCAAATTCACCAACTACTCCTTGGAATCCCTCATAGGGCCACTATGAGTCAGAACCACCTTGACAGCACTTAACAACAACAAATATACCTATCGACTGCTTGCCTGAAAACAGGGCTCCCAGGGTGAGTTCCTTTATAGACTTAAAGGATGGTTGAGAGCCACAATCTTGAGTTCCTCCAGTTTTTTTCTGAGCAGTAAGTCCAGTCTTTCTATAATTACAAGTTTTGTTCCACATTTTCTCCCACTCTATCTGGGACCTTCTAATGCGATCCCTTTCAGAGCATTTGGTAATGGCAGCTGGGCGCCATCTGTTCTTCTGGTCTCAGAGTCATGGGGACTGATGCTCACAAGTTCCATGAGTCCATTGAACTACTTGATTCCAAGCATGTTCAATTCTCATCACACATCTTCCTTCTGCACATGGAGAGACCAATAGTTGTACCTTGATGGTCACTCGTGAGCTTTTAAGATCCCGGACACTGCTCACCAAAGTAAGAAGTAGAACATTGTCTTTGTGGACTATGTTATGCCAACTGATCATGGTGTCCCCTGAGAATATGGTCCTAAGCCCCTAAGCCCAGCAACTCATTGCCTTAAGATGATTGATAATATCTAAAAATTTTTCATCATTTTGCCCACTGTATTCTCCACCACATTCATAATGTATTTGCAGCAAAGGTAAATAAATACCCATGTGCAAATAGCCTCTTTCAAACCTTATGCATTTGTGGGTATACCCCACTCTCCCTTCCATTCCTGTTCAACCTATATAGATATATATAGAACAGAACATCTACCCACAACCTATGTCTCTACCCACAGAGCACTGGTGTTCCAAGGTTTTATATATAACACTATTGACCTCTCTCCCCTTTAACCCTTGCATACCTCCCTGTGTCTTCATCATTCTTTTGCCACCCTCCCTCTTCTAGTATAATGTCCTCCCCATCACCTGAGTTAACATATGCCTACCCTCTAGCCAGTGAATCACTCTCCCTTCCCTGCTATCCCGGGTAGCTAGCAAAGAATGTTTCTTGAAGCATGAAAACATTTTCTTGAGGTATGCACTTGTTGTTGTTGTTAAGTGCCGTGGAGTCGGTTCCAACTCATAGCGACCCTGCACAAGGTTTCCGAGGCTGTAAATCTTTATGGGAGCAGAACGCCTCATCTTTCTCCTGCAGAACCACTGGTAGTTTCGAACTGCTGACCTTGCAGCTCGCAGCCCAATTCGTAACCACTGTGCTACCAGAGCTCCTTGAGGTTTGCACTAGTGGTCTCGTATAAGATTTGTCCTTTTGTGATGGACTAATTTCACTCAGCATAATGTCCTCCAGGTTCGTCTGTGTTATGAGGCATTTCACAGATTCATCATTATTCTTCAGTGGTGTATTGTATTTCATTGTGTGTATGCACCAAAGTTTGTTTCTCCATTCTTGCATTGGTTGATATTTAGACCATCTCCATCTTTTTGCTATTTTGAATAGTGCTGTAGTGAACATAGGTGTGAATATAGCTATTCTTGTGTTGGCTCATATATCTGTTGGATATATACCAAGTAGAGGGATTGCTGGGTCATACGGTATTTCTACTTCCTATTTTCCCTTTTTAGAAGACAATACTCCAAAGGGATTACATTTAGTTAGGACCCATCTCACTCATCAGTACAACTAAAGGAAAGTTCTATTTCCGATGAAGGTCACATTCACAGGTATGGAGTTAGGACTATGAATATATCTTTTTTGGTACAACAAGCTAACTTTGTGACTCACACTTGTATGGTCCTTGCTAGACAACCAGAGTGATTGAGTGAATGAATGGACCAACAAAAGCCACTAGAACCAAGAATAGGCCACCCTTAGGAGGACTGGGGTAATGGTAGTTCAAAAGCGGAATTCTCACCTTCAAGGTAGGAAACTCGGGTTGGATTCACAGAAGCTGTACCTTCCGTATAGCCACTACCTGTCTGTCACTGAAGGCTTGGGTGTTGCCAGGATAGTGAGCACCTGGGGAAACTCCAGGCTAAAAAGCACTAGGAAGAAAGGTCTGGCAATCTGCTATTTGGAAAATCAGTCAGTGAGAATGTTATGGAGTACAGGCAATGGTCAGATCCCATTGTGCATAAGTCCCCGGGAGTCAGAGGCTGACTCAGTGAACTCAGTAACAACACACAGTAACAAGCCCAAGTATCACCTGGTGAGTTCTGCTTGGAGAAGAGGTAGCGTTCGGTACTTGTTTGTACCTGAGGGTACTTGGGTGCTCCACAGTCTGAGGTCTATGATGTTCAGATTGTCCCCAAGTGGGAAGAATTGTTTTCGATGAACCTTCTCAACCCTTCCCTCGCTTTGGAACAGGCATATGGGGCTTGTTTGGTGCTGCAGGTTAATGCGCTGGATGCAAGGTTGGTTTGGTTCAAGCTCACCAGCCGCTCCTCAAAGACTCTATACAGGGTCGCGATGAGTCAGAACCGACTTGACAGCACTTAACAAAAACAACAATCCTTAAAATACTGCTTTGATAATAAAATGTATTGGGAGTTTGAATTTTTAAAGGTAATTAGAGATGGGATAGTTTGTATCATTAAGTCATCAAGTCATTCGCAAGTAGAAGGAATACAGAAGGACTATGAGTCGGTACTGACTTGATGGAACCTAACAGCAACAACATGATGCAGCCAGAGTGCTCCTTGGAGGCCAGGATGGCCAAACTTCATCTCTCATACTTTGGACATATTATCAGGAGGGGCCAGTCGCTGGAGATGGATGTTTAGTAAGGTGGAGTGTCAGAGAAAAAGAGGAAGACCCCCAGCGAGATGGATTGGCAAAGTGGCAACATCCATAGGCTCAAGCGTGGCAACAATAGTGAGGTTGGCCCAGGACCGGGCAGTGTTTCGTTCTGTTGTACATAGGGTCACTATGAGTTGGTACCGACTCAATGTTACCTAAAAACAACAACATGGAGTCATGGTGTGGCGCTGTAGAGAGTAAGCACTAGACGGCAAGGTCAGAGGTTCAAACCTACCAGCCGCTCCTCAGAAACCCTATACAGGGTCGCTGAGTTGGAACTGACTCGATGGCACTTAACAATAGCAACAACATTCCCATCAAAATATTGTTGATTCAAAAGATTGGGATTCTAGTCAAGGCCTAAGTTGTTGGTAATTGGCTTCGAGTTGGTTCTGACTCATAGTGACCCTGTCTAAGGTTTCCAAGGAGCAGCTGATGGATTTGAACTGCTGACCTGTGGTGCACAGTCCAGTGCTTATCCTACAACACTACACCAGAACTACACACGCATGCACACAGATTACACAGATTGCACACACATGCACACAGGTTACACACACGTGTTACACACACACAGGTTATACACGCATGAACACAGGTTACACACGCATGCACACAGGTTATACACACATGCACACAGATTACACACACATGCAGAATAAATGCACCCATAGAAGTATTACTTAGGCAAATTCTAATGTATGTACAGAAACTCTCATACAAAAAGCTACCTAACTTCTGACTCATAGTGACCTTGTCTAGGGCTTCTGAGGGGCAGCCGGTGAGTTTGAACTGCTGACCCTGTGGTTTGCAGTCCAGTGCTGACCCTCCAGCACTACACCAGGAGTCCCGATGTAATGGAGAATTTAAACACATCAAAAATTTCACTTTTCTACTAACTTTTTGAAATCCCTTAGTATTTTTGAAAGGAGAGAGTTTGGGACTTCTAATTTTTCACGGTTTCCGGGAATGCTGCTGTGGGATCAGCATTGAACTGCAATGTCAGTTTGGGCTACAAGGTCAGAGGTTCAAACACACCATCCGCTCCTTGGAAAACCTAGCAGGGTTTCTAAGAGTCAGAACTGACTCGACAGCAGTTAGCAACAACAACAAAGTTTCCTGTAATGGATATTAAATGGGCATGGAATTCGAAGCGGAAAGAAACACTATATTAATATAAAACAATTTGTTCAGAAGGTAAAACAGGATGAACCTACACTAAAGTTATAGACCAATGAAAGCACTCAATTGCTGGTGAGGTTAATGTGAGACACGTGGCTGAGGATTCTCCTAGGGGACTGCACTGGGGCCAGCAGTGACTGAGAGAAAGCTTGTGTCTCATTCTGCTGTGTTATTTGTGGGGACTTCAAACATTTGCTACAATAGGCTGTCCTGTGTTTTCATTACAAATATACATGTGTGTTGTACTGGGGTGATTACCCGGCCAAGAGAACCTGAACCGAAACATAAGGCCAAAGGCACCGGGGCAGGTTGGCTGGGCTGTGGGTGGCCGGTGGTGGCCCCTCAGGAATCCTCTGGTCACTTCCTTCTGGCAGAGTGCATTGCCCTGCCTCCTGGGCTGGCACGTCCCACCTCAGCACCTCAGCACTGTCTCCCATGTCCCCAGGTTCACGGCCGGAGTGATAGGCAGGGAGAGGATGGCTGCCTTTGAGAGGCTGTTGTGGCGAGTCTGCCGTGGAAACATCTACTTCAGATTCTCCGAGATGGACATGTTCTTGGAGGATCCTGTCACGGTGGGTGTCTCGGCTGCAGGAAACCTCACTTCTCCCAGGCTCCTCACCAAAGGGGCTCTCGCTCCGTGACGTTGATCATATCTGTTTCCTTTCTCATCCTAAAGGAGCCCTGGTGGCACAGTGGATGAAGTTCTGGGCTGTGAACTGAAAGGTCTGTGGTTCAAACTTACTAGCTGCTCCTTGAGAGGAAAGGAGCTCTGGTAGTGTAGTGGTTACGAATCGGACTGAGAACCGCAAGGTCAGCAGTTTGAAACTACCAGCTGTTCTGCGGAAAAAAGATGAGGCTTTCTGCTCCCCTAAATATTTACAGCCTCGGAAACCCTGTACAGGGTCGCTATGAGTCGGAACCGCACGGCACATCACAACAACCATGAGAGGAAGATGAGGCAGCCTGTTTCTGTAAAGATTTACCACCTCAGAAACCCTGGGTGGCACTTCTACTCTGCCCCAGTGGGAGTATAGGACAGAGGGGAACTGCCCCAGAGGGCTTTCTAGGCTGTTGTCCTAGGTCTTTCTCCCAAGGTGCAGCTGGGTGAGTTTGAACTTCTGACCTTGTGGCTGGCATTCTAGTACTTATCCTACATCAGGATTCCCTGACCCTTGCTGGTGATAGTGGTTATGTTCTGTGGAGTCTGAGACTGTAAATCTTTACAGGAACAGAGAGCATCTTTCTTCTGCAGAGGGGTTGGTAGACTCGAACTGCTGGTCTTGGGGTTAGCAATCCAACTAGTAACCCACCATGATACCTGGGCTTGCTCCTTGACCCTTGCTATCGTTGTTGTTAAGTGCCACGGTGTTGGTTCCGACTCATAGCGACCTTGTATAGGGTTTCTGAGGAGTGGCGGGGGAGCATGAACCACCAACTTTGTGGCTCAAATTGATCTTGCAGTCCAGCACAGTATCTTGCAAATTCCGCACCAGGACTGGATTTGTTCCCCCTAGAAACTCGGACTTGCCACTAGAGGGCAGTGTGCAGCCAGCAGGAAGACAAGAACGCTTTAGGCCAGTACTTCTCCAACTTGGATGCCCCTTTGTCATGTGGGGCCCTTATTAAATGCTGATTCTAACTCAGGGACTCCAGAGTGAGGCCTGAGAGTCTGCATTGCTAATAAGTTTCAGGTGATGCTGGTGCTACTAGCCAATGGGCCACACACTTGGATGAGAGGATTTAAAGGGCTTTTCTCAAGGTTCCCTAAGGAACTCTGGTAGCTAGTGGTTGCTGATCTGAATCCAAATCGGGTTGCAAACCTCCAGGTCAATAGTTCAAAACTACCAGGTGTTCCGCCAGAGAAAGATGAGACTTTCTGCTTCTGTAAAGATTTACAACCTCAGAAACCCTGTACAGGGTCGCTATGAGTTGGAACCGACTCCGCGGCACATAAGCACCAACTACCACCATCTCAAGGGTCCCTGGGGCATGCAAACTGTTAATGAGCTCAGCTGCTGAGTCCACTTAGAGGTGTAGTGGAGTACTGGTGTGGCACCTTACATCATAGGGTCAGTTTGAACCGCACCACACTGCAAGATCAGTGGTTCAAACTCACCAGCCGCTCCTTGGAAACCCTATACAGGGTCGCCATTAGCCTGAACTGACTCGATGGCACTTAACAACAACAACAACAATAGAGGTGCTGTAAGATCAGCACCGGAGTGCAAACCTCAAGGTCGGCAGTTCAAAACCACCAGTTGCTCCTCAGAAACCATATACAGAGTCGGTGTGAGTTGGAACCGACTCAATGGCATTGAACAACAACACCAGAGGAGACTTGGGATAAAGGCTTGGTGATGTACTTCCAAAAGGTCACCTATGATGCCCTACGGAGCACAGTTCTACTCTGACACACATGGGGGTGCCATGAATCAGAGGTGGAGACCCTGTGGAGCACAGTCCTACTCTGACACACACGGGGGTGCCATGAGTCAGAGGTGAACACCCTGTGGAGTACAGTTCTACTGAGACACACGGGGATGCCATGAGTAAGAGATGAACACCCTGTGGAGCGCAGTCCTACTCTGACACACACAGGGGTGCCTTGAGTCAGAGATGAACACCCTGTGGAGCGCAGTTCTACTCTTACACACATGGGGGCGCTGTGAGGCAGAATTGACTCAATGACGTCTTGTTAGATTTGGTGTTTTAGGTCTGTGAGGCCTTAGATCTCACCACTCGTCTGTGATACGGTGGTGACTTGCGTGTTGCTGTGACAGGAAGCCGTACCATCAGTATTCCAAATACCAGCAGAGTCACCCATTGTGGACAGGACTGACCCAGTGGCTGCAGCAATGGGCTCAAACATAGGAATGATTGTGCGGCTGTCAGAGGACGGGGCAGGGCTTTGTTCCGTTGTCCACAGGGTCGCTATGGGTGGGAACTGACGCCACAGCAGCAGCAGCAACATAATGAACTATGAGTTTGTGTGAAATGGGGGCGATGTTTCATTTTTCCAACTTTTCCCAATTTATGTTACATGTTGTTTGTGAAACTTCCAAGCAAGACTTTGCAGTTCTCCCTGTTGTATTCAACTAGAAAGAAAAGCGACTGTTTTTAACTTGTTCTGATTTTCCAGAAAGAAGATATTAATAAGTACATATTCATCATATTTTATCAAGGCGAGCAGCTTAGGCAGAAGATCCGGAAGATCTGTGATGGGTAAGAAAGGGTTACCACCAGTGGTTTGGGTGGGAACTGGCTAAGGGGTACACCGTGACAAATACACCTCACTGCAGGGTCTCTGAGAATGTTAGGAGTTTAGAATCAGTTCCCCATGTTCTAAAGTCAGTTGCTGAAAATGCACCTGACTTTTAGAACACGAGGGTCCAGAGCAGGGAACTTGAATGAGCGTAGGTAAAGGTCCTGAGTGGGACCTTTTAAACCCTTTTCCGTTGATTCTGTTTCACATCACATATTAGAGTCCACCCAGGGAGGTGGTACAGATGGTTAAGCACTCAAATACTAGCCAAGAGGTTGGGTGTTTGAACCCACCAGGGGCTCCTGTAAAGAAAGCCTGGTAACCTGTTTTGAAAATCCACAGCCTTGAAAGGCCAGTGTATCAAGGGTAATTCTACTCTGGTTCACATGGGGTCATCAAGAGTCAGAGTTTGACTCTTCAGCAATGAACAACACCCTTGTTGTTGTGAAGTGCCATCGGGTCGGTTCCAACCCATAGCGACCCTGTATAGGGCTTCCGAGGAGCAGTTGGTGAGCTAGAACCACTGACCTTGCAGTTCAAATGGCTTTGCAGACTGGTGCATTAACCCACAGCGCCACCCCAGGACTCCACCCTTATTGGTGGCTAAAACTCAACCCAAATAAACCCACTTCTGTTGAGGTGACTTCAACTCACAGTGTTCCTGAAGGCCAGAGTAGAACTGCCCCACAGGGCTTCCAAGGGTGCCATCTCTAAGGACATGGACGGCTACATCTTTGTCCTGTGGAGTGGCTGGTGGGTTCCAACTGCCAAGCTCTTGGTTAGCAGCAGAGCACAAGACCACCAGGACTCCTGATGCATCCATCAGGGTCTAAAAAGCAGGTGAATGTGTGGCTGGGTCCTTTCTGATGCTGCAGACCCACCTCATAGTCAGCCCCTTGCAGACAGAAACGGCTCAGTAGAGAAGGATGTTAATACACAAACCATTTCCGGGAGGAAGAATACACAAGGCAAGTTCACATCTTCTTGACATAGCAGCTCATAGGGTTACAGTGTGAATCAAACAAGACAGACCTGTTTTAGTTTCATTTCATTATATTGTGCTTCGCAGAGGTTGCATTTTTAATAAATGGAAGGTTTGCGACAACCCTGCACTGAGCAAGTCTATCCGTGCCATCTTCCCTGCAGCATGTGCTTCCTGTGTGTCTCCTTGTCTTGTTTTGGTCATTCTTGTGATATTTTAAACTTTTTCATCATGTTATTGCACACTTCATAGACCACGGTGTAGTACAAACATAACTTGCATATGCACTGGGAAGCCAAAAACACCGCACAACTCGCTTTGTTGTGATATTGGCTTCTCGAGGCAGTCTGGGACCCGACCCACTATATCTCCAAGTTCTGCCTGAAGGACAATCACGATTTAAGGTGTGTGTGAGCGAGTCATTGGGGAGTCTTAAGACTGGAGCTCACTTGCTCATTGCCAAGGACACTGTGGTTATTCTAGAAGACCATAATCCCACCAAAGTCAGCACCTGAGAGTTTAGCAGAAAATGGGGTACAGGACACTTTCTGACCCTGACCCATGTGTGGCCTGTGGACTGTATCACACACAGGTTCCGAGCCACCATCTACCCCTGCCCAGAACCTGCGGCTGAGCGCAAGGACATGTTAGCTGAAGTCAACGTGAGGCTGGAAGATTTAAACATCGTGAGTGCCGAGGCCTGACCTGAGTGGGTGGGGGCTCCCTCTGCCCACTCCATGACAACTCTATCTCCTTGGGCCCGTGTTAGAAGGCTTCTGGAAGGCTGCCCTCTTTTCCATCTGCTGCTCCAGAAGTTTCCATGATTAGAAAGCCGTCTTCAGTCAGCTTTTGTATTTACCAGCCTCAGTCTCATCTAAGGGGCCCTGGGGGTGCAGTGGTTAAGAGTTGGACGGCTAACGGAAGGGTCGGTGGTTTGAGCCCACCAGATGCTCTGCAATCTGGTTTCATAAAGATGATTCATAACATAACAGTTCTGACTCATAACAACCCTGATATAAGGGGGTTCTAATTGTTGGGCCCCCAGATCGTAATATCAAATTCTAGTAAGTAAATTCTCTGTGGGTGCCATGGTCCATCCATCACTTCCTTCGTTACTTCATTTACAATGTGTTGGAGGGATTGTGTATGTGAAGCATTTTGGTCGGACGGTGAGGACTTTGGAGCGCTTGAGTGGTGCCAGTGTTTAAGGAATTTGGTTGCTGACTGAAAGGCTGGAGGTTCGAGTCCACCCTGAGGCACCTTGGAAGACAGACCTGGAGATCTACTTCTAAACGGAGTCGTTGAAAATCCTGAGGAGCACACTTCTACTCTGACACACGTGGGGAAGCCATGTGTGGGAGCTGAGTCAATGGCAAGCAGTTACTGGTTAGGCAGGAGATGGGATCAGTGCTCAAGGATTTCCATTCTAGGAGGGGACCTGGTGGCGCAGTGGTGAAAGCCTGACTGCTTTAACATGGATAAAAGGCCATTCATTCAAACTCACAAGCCGCTTTGTGGGAAGTGATTTATCAGTCAGCTTCTGTAAACCGATGAAACAGTTCCACTGTACCCGCAAGCGTCTCGATGAGCCGGAGTGGACGAGGTGGCAGTGGGTGTTTTGGTTTAGGGGATGAGAGCTGTCCCAGAGGGCGGAGCCTAGGGCAGGAGCACGCGTGAGGCTGAAGGGCCTCGGTTTCTCCACACTGCGCATGCCCGTTGCTCAGTAGGCTGTTTTTCCTCCGCCTCTCCAGGTGATCACGCAGACTGAGTCCCACCGTCAGCGCCTGCTGCAGGAGGCGGCTGCCAACTGGCACACGTGGGCCATCCAAGTGCAGAAGATGAAGGCCATTTACCACACCTTGAACCTGTGCAACATCGATGTCACTCAGCAGTGCCTCATCGCTGAGATCTGGTTCCCCGTGGTGGACACCGCGCGCATCCAGAGGGCCTTAGAGCAGGGCACGGTGAGTCATGGGACCCTCGGGTGCTGGTGGGCCTGCCCACTCAGGGACAGGGACCAGGCGGAAGGATTTGTCTTTGAATCTTCAGTTCGTCCGGGTGGGTCAAATGGTTAATGGTCAGCTGCTTCCTGACTGCCAGGAGCCTCAGAAGAAAGACCTGGTGATCTAGTTCTGAAAAATCCGCTATCAACGACCCAACGTAGCTCAGTTCCCCTCTGACACACAGGGGTAGGTGAGTCAGAGTGACCAGAACTAGTTTCTTGATGCTGCCATAGAATTTGTTTTCTCAAAGTCTGCCGGTTAAAGTCCGAATCAGGGAACTTCTGTGAGCCTGTCTTCTAGAATCTGCCCGCGTTCCTAGGTGTTGCTTTGCTTGTAAATTCCTAGGGTGTGTCTGTCTTCCCCTGTGTGCGTGTCCCTGTCTATTCAGTTCTTTTTATAAGACACCACTCAGAAGGGATTAGGGTTAGAACTCACCCTAGTCTGGTCTGAACTCATTCACATGAGAAAAGGAAATCCCACTTTCTAATCGGGGTAGTATGTATTTGCAGGTACAATGGTTAAAACGTTCACATTTCGTCTTGTTGTTTAGTGCCGTTGAATCAGTCATAGCAACCCTGCATAGATAGGGTGTCTAAGGAGCGGCTGGTAAGTTTGAACCACCAACTTTGCGCTTCAAACCAAACTTTTGATCCAGTGTTTATCCTACAGCGCCACACCAGGACTCCACATTGTGTTTGGAGGGATACAATTCAACCCATAAAAGGTCCATAACAGAAACACCTAGGTTTCTCCATGTTTGACAGTGATCCCGTAAAAACAAACCAGACTTAGATGTCGTTGTTAAACGCTGTCAAATCATTTCTGACTCATGGTGGCCCGTGTGTGCCGGCTAGAACTGAGCTCCGTGTAGCTGTCAGGGCTGTGAGCTTTTAGAAGTGGATTGCCAAGCCTACTTTCCCAGGAGCCTCTGTGTGGGTTCAAACCATCAACTGTTTGGCTTGTAGTATAGTGCTTCACCCTCTGTACCAGTCATGGGACTCCTTGGCCACCGGATTGTTGGCCCCAGGTGCTGTGGAGTTGGTTCAGACAGAAGGGAGGTCAGGGTCACCGTGTGAGGCTGTGAGAACAGAGAGGAAAGGAGGGAGAGTCAGAAAGATGTGGGGTTCAGGGAGGGACTGTCAGAGGACACCAGGGCCCCAGGAATCCCGGGAGGGGAGTTTTCACCATAGAAAATCCGACTTTAGGGAAAGTTGGTGAGTCTGGTTCATGCGCTGTCTTTTGTGGGGTTGTTGCCAGGCTTGAACAGACAAACTTTGCTCACACAATTGAGGCTAGAAGTCCGCATTCAGGGCACTAGCTCCAGTGGAAGGCTTTCTCTCTGGGTTGACCGTATGAAGGAGCCCTGATGGTACAGTGGTGGCACTTGGCTGCTCACTGAAAGGCTAGCAGTTCAAACCCACCTACCGCAGCTCCAGAGAAATATGTGTCAGTCTGCTTCCGTCAAGATTTACAGTCTCAGAAACGCTGTGGGCAGTTCCGCCCTCCCCATAGGCATCACCGTGAATCGAAATCGCTTGCTGACGAGGTCAGGGCAACACATACCGGAGGGTGAGATCAGAGAATGGTGTGGGGTCAAGCTCTTGAGGGGGAAGGTGGAAAGAGGAGAGCAGAGGCCAGGAGTGTGGTGTGTGTGTGTGTGTCACCAGCACCCACAGAACAGGCATGATGGCAATTGTTGGAGACACTGGGCGATCCTCACAGCCCTCCTGTTTGGTTGGTTAGGGACAGTCCAGGGGGCTGCTGCTGACTGAAGTCTATCCCCCAGACATGTGTTGCCCTCCTAAGTCCTGTACCTGTGGACAGTTATAAACAGGATTTTCTTTATTAGGTTAAAGGAGCCTTGGTAGTATAGTGGGGTAAGTGTTGGGCTATGAGCCACAAGGTCTGTGGTTCAAAGCCACGAGCTGCTCCTCTGGAGAAGGATGAAGCTGTCTGCTCCCGTAAAGATTTACAGTCTCAGAAGCCCAATGGAGTAGTTCTTAATCACTGTGAGTTAGTGAAAAAAAGGCAGACCACTCATCTGCACTGTAAACTTTCACCCAAGACACACACACACACACACACACACACACACAAAGCAGAATAGACACAGAAAATCACAAAAGGACAAAAGTGTTAGATGCCATATGAGGTCGCCAAGGAACCAAGACACGCCAGTGCTGTCAAAGCCGAAAATGACAAGGACCTTCCCCTAGAGCCCACAGAGAGGGAGGGCCTCCCCCAAGAGCCGGTGAGCGCATAGCAGCTGCCACTCTTTTCCTTGGTTAAGCGTAAACCTAATCAAACGCTGTCTGAAATCACCCCCCCCACCCCCAGCTTGTCCTTGTTTCTCTAATGTGTGTTTTGACGATTCTAGGTTGGAATGTTAATAATTGTCTGGCTCTGCCCGGAGCCTGGTCCCTGTTGTGATAAGGGTGACCATCTGGACAAGCAGGCACTGAGATAGTTAACCACATCCTCCTTGAGATGTCAGCTGGGGCATCGTGACCACCTTGTGACTTAGTGTGAATGTTGGAATTGTAGCCCCCCTGTATGATGCATGTGACCAGCCTTATCAAGAAACAGTATAGAAAGAAAATGCTAGTGACCAAGAATACATTCTAAGCCTGTTTGCAATGAGGTGTTCTCTGTTTACCTGGTAGTGATGGTGGTGGCTGTGTGCCGTGCAATCACTTCTGACCCTAACGACCCTGTATAGGGATTCTGAGGCTGTAAAATCTTTATGGGAGCAGAACGTCTCATCTTTCTCCCACGGAGCACTGGTAGATTTGAACTGCTGACCTTGCAGTTAGCCCATAGCAACCCACTAAGCTACCAGGCCTCTTTTTGCTTATCTGGAATGTTGATTAATTGAACTTAATTGCTTCAGGACATTAACACTGGGGCCCTGAGTTTGGACTGTGATCAAATCAATTTCTGTTTGTGAAAGTCACCACCTTGTGAGGGCCGTACTGGGAACCACGTATGGAAGATGACGTACACATCAGGAAGCTCCAGGAAGGGCCAGAGGTGGACACGTCCCCCGTGGTGGGGATGGTGGGTGCTGGGGTCTGTCCTTGGTTCTCCACTCATGCTGGACTCTGTCCCTTGCTCTCGTTGCAGGAACAAAGTGGCTCGGCCATGGCTCCCATCCTGACCACAGTGCAGTCTAAAACAGCCCCTCCAACATTTAACAGGACCAATAAGTTCACAGCTGGCTTCCAGAACATTGTAGATGCCTATGGTGTAGGCAACTACCGGGAGATGAACCCAGGTAACAGGCTTCTTTGTGTCCCCCCCTTGGGCAGCTGGGGAATGAAGGTGGGGTGAGCTCCACCCCTGACGTGACCAGGGTGCTGAGTGGGTGGAATTGGTTCCTTGATCTCTCAATGCTGGGCGCTGTCTTTGATGAATACCAACTGGTGAAAGGTTTGGACATGGTCCAGGTTTCGAGTCACCCCGAAACAAAGCCTCACCAGGCAGCTGGCATTCTTGTTTCCTTCACCAGTTCATCGGAGGGTCACCTCTAGTTGTCATCACAAAACCAAACCAGTTGTAGTCGAGTCGACTCTGCCGCCTGCTCCATGTGGGCAGAGTAGAACTGCTCCATGGGGTTTCCAAGGCTGTGGCCTTTTGGAAGCAGATCTTCACACCTTTCTTCTGAAGTACCTCTGTGTGCCACTCAGGGACTCTCTAGTTATTGTGTGAGAGAGATGGAAACACATGGCGCATAGGCTTTGCTGCTCTAAGCTTTGGGCCTGAGTGTACACTGATGTCGTTAGCTGAGCGCTACCTGGGATTACTCTTTACCAGTCTGAGTCCCAGTCTCACCCAGGACCACAGAGGAGAGGTCCTGGGGGCTGGGAGCCCCTAAGAATAAGGCTGGTCTTGTGCACTCCACGAGAACATGCAGACGAGGGGTGGTGGAAGAGTGGGGTGGCCTGAGAGATGGAAGCCCAGCCATCGAGTCGATCCCAATTCAGAACAATCCTCTAGGACAGCAGAGCGGTGTCCTAGAGTTTCCGAGGCTGTAAATCCTTACAGAAGCCGACCACCTCATCTTTCTCCCAAGGAGCAACTGGTGGGTTTGAACTGCCGACCTTGTGGTTAGCAGCCCCGTGCTTATCTGTAAAGAGGGAAGTCATAACGCCTCATGATGAGCTAGGTGTCCTTAGATGGTGCACACGGTTAATGAGCTCAGCTGTCAATGGAAAGGTTGACGTCCCACCCAGAAGAGCCTCAGAAGAAAGACCTGATGATCTGCTTGGGAAAAATCAGCCAGTGACAACCCTGAGGAAGACAGTTCTACTTTGGGCCACATGGGGGCACCACAAATCAGAGTTGATGGCAACTGGTTTTGCTTTTTTTTTTTTTTTAACTGAGAAGATAAAATATATGGAAGTTAAACTAGAGGGGCAGGTGAGGTTGTCAAGGGTAGACAGTCCGAAAGACACAGGAAGCCCTCCACAGGGACCGCGGGGTGTCAGGAGGAGGTGAGGGGGCGCAGCGGACACTTCTCTCTCCTCCACAGCCCCCTACACCATCATCACCTTCCCCTTCCTGTTCGCGGTGATGTTTGGGGACTGTGGACACGGGGCAGTGATGCTGTTGGCTGCCCTGTGGATGGTTCTGAACGAGAGGACCTGGCTTTCTCAGAAGTCCAACAATGAGGTAGGTGTCCATTAACTGCCCCTCCTGCCCCATCTCCTTGAGGCTATGAGCCCAGTAGTGAAGAGGGTATTTGGTAGAAACACGATGATTTTATGAAAAGTCTGGGAACAAGTAAAGAGTGGGCAAAATTTGACAGAAAATCCCTGGCTGAGGGTTCTGACCAAGCATTGCTTTCTCTTTAATTTATTTATCTTTCTGACATATCTTTCTTCCTGATTAAAGAAGCTCAACATGTGGATTGTAAATATTTGTAATCTATAATCCAGGAGTACTGGTAGGTAGCATAATGGATTATGAGCTCGACTACTAACCGCAAGGTCAGCAGTTCAAATCTACCTCTCACTCTGAGGGAGAAACATGAGGCTTTCTGCTCCCATAAAGATTTACAGCATACAACCACCACTGCATTATCTTAAATACCTAGAAATTAACATCACAATGAACAGTTTTGTGGGTCTTTCTAATACTTTTATTTTTTCCCCCTGCATATACACAAATAATGCATTTTAAAGATTGGGATCAGAGAGTGCATAGTAATTTGTAGCTCACTATCACTATTTGCACTTAAAGGAGTCCTGGTGGCATGGTGAGTTAAGCACATGGTCAGCAGTTCAAATCCATGTAAATATCACAGCCTCAGCAGCCCAACAAGACAATGTTCTACGTTGTTGTTGTTAAATGCTGTTGAGTCGATTCCGACCCATAACGACCTTGTGTAGTGTTTCCAAGGAGCAGCTGGTGAGCTTGAACCACCAACCTTGAAGTTCAAATGGCTTTGCAGTCTGGCGCATTAACCCACAGCGCCACACCAGGGCTCTGTTCTATAAGCTGTCTATAATCACCATCGGTTTGATGGCAGCAGGTTTCCTTGCACGTAAAATACGTCAAGTCCTACTCTTTGCGATTGTTGCTGTTGTTACGTGTGGTAATGTTCTAGAGAGCTCCTGTGAATGCTGAGTTCATGAATACCAAGGCCGTTCTCCAGGGAAAATGCAGAGTTAGGGTCCTGCAAGCCTCAGGTGAGAACATTTTCATCAACTGACCAACATAGACATCTTATTGGAAATACACAACCATTCGTTGGCATTGAACTCATGGCTGGCAGTGCCACCTTCTCCATGAGGATCTGCACAATTTCTTATGCTTAGGAGCACCAGAGAGCACTTCAGCAATGCGCTTGGGTCATTATAAACAGCAAAATCACCATCACAAAAGCCCCCAAATGTGAACAATGACTAGATCACAAAAGATGCACTAGATGAGAGTTTGTGAGTGGAAGGAAACAGCAGAGCACCCCCTTGTTTGACCTCAAGTGTGGCCTTATGCATCGGGCAACTCAAATTGTTTGACACTCGGCACATTGTTGGAGAAGCATAGTATAACCCCAGATCTCCAGCTAACCCAAACTCTCCACAAATTTAGAGAAGAAACAGTTTATTATTGAATAAGCACGCATTCTGCAGGCAACCCGCTACAGAGATTACAAAGTCAAATGAATTTTTATCCTTTTATGTAGCCAAGTCCTGGGGTGGCATTGTGGGCTAATGCGCTGGACTGCAAAGTTGATTTGAACCACAAAGTCAGTGGTTCAAGTTCACCAGCCGCTCCTCGGCTACCCTATACGGGGTTGCTATGGGTCAGAACCGACTCGATGGCACTTAACAAGAACATGTAGTGTAACAAAGACCTGGTGATCCGCTCCCATACATAAAGATTGTTGTCGTTGATTGTTGTTGTGTTGTTAGGTGTCGTCACGTCAGCTCCGACTCATAGGAGGACAGAACGAAACACTGCCTGGTCCTGTGCCATCTTCACAATTGTTGTTACACTTGAGCCCATTGCTGCTGCCACTGTGCCAATCCATCTTACTAGGGGTCTTCCTCTTTTTCCATGACTGTCCACTTTACCAAGCATGATGTCCCTCTCTAGGGACTCGTTTCTCTTGATAACATGTCCGAAGTATGAGAGACCACGTCTCATCATGCTGGCTTCTAAGGAACACTCTGGCTGTAAAGATTGTTGTTGTTGTCAGGTGCTATCGAGTCGGCACCGACTCATAGAGACCCACCCCATGCACAGCAGAATGAAACACTGCCCGATCCTGGGCCAAACTCAACTACTGTTGCCACACTTGAGTCCATCGATGCTGCCACTTGGCCAATCCATCTTGGGGGGTCTTCCTCTTTTTCTCTGACCCTCCACCTTACTGAACATGATATTCTTCTCTAGCGACTGTTCCCTCCTGACAATATGTCCAAAGTATGAGAGA